GAAATTTCTGTGCCACGAAGCGATCAGTCACGGAACATACATGAAGAGTCTTCCAAAGGGACATGAAGAGGCTTGCAGAGGACAGGAGTGATGGCTCTTTCTGGTGGATCCCAGGATGGTGTGTAAACTCTATTAAGCATGCTACATGTTAAATCCTATGACTCTGCAAATGAAGCGTCACTCTTTTGAAAAGACATCAGCCTTCAAGTCAAGATGGAAGTACCCAGCTATGGGAAATGATGCTGGCCAAACAGGGCTGGTTCCAGGGGACAGAAGAGGCTGGTGCAGGATGCTCCCCCAACCCCCAAAACAAATAATCTCAGTGATCCCACATTTACATCAATACAAACACATTTCCCTTCCATAGAGTCATTTATTAAGACTGGGGGGAAATGACAATGCTGCATTCAAACTAATATCAGCCCAGCTCAAGGACTACATTTATTGACCCACCGGGACAATTTTCTCTCTCCCTCAATGTAAGAAGAAGATGAACCAACTACCACATTTCTCCTGTTTCCTGGGCAGGCCTGTACGCTCTAGATGGTAGACACCAGGTGTGTGAATTCTCTAAACTATTCAAGCCTCCATATCAGGCTGCATTACTGAATTTCCCTTCCTCAGCCTTATTATTCTTAGTCCGAGATGTCCAGACTTCAGGACGTGGTTAAGTGCAATTTCAGCATCAACCAAAATCTAAAACCCACGCAACTCAGACTCAGCAACAGGAGAAGGCGGATGGGTGGCAAATGTGACAATAAGACATGGAAGAAAAACAGGGGTGAAGAAAGTTCTCATCTTCATGTCACACAGCTTCCTTTCCCTGCCAGCAGGTCTTGCTGTGAAAGTTGTACACCGTTGATCTGTACACCTTTAGGTATGGCAAAGAGGTAGCTGGAGCTGGCGAATAAAGCATAGAGTGAGTTCCTGTGTTTCCTGTGCTGTAGTCTTGGACTGATTGTGTGGATGTACCAGTCTGTGGTTCTCTTACTCTTTTCAGGAACCAGGTTGCGGGTATGTATGTGCTCTACTTGAGGAACGAGTGTTGGTGGCAAAATGGCCCGATGGGAGGGGTGGAGGGTGGGATGAGCAATCGTTATAATCCTAGTAAAATGCTTTCAGAATAATCTGGCGCTCAGCTGTGAGAAATGTGATGAAGCTGCAAACAGTGAACTTACTTGTGATGTTTGATGTAGGATGGTTTACTTAAGGAATTGGCTTTTGCACTGTTTCGGGATACCAAAGACATTGTTTATGTATATGGGAGAGGAAAGCATCTCCTTCTTCCTGATGGGCATGAGAACAGCAGTATTTTTTCCGTCATGGGTTAAAAAAATGCAACGTGCACATTATTTCAATCATCCTGACTCCCTCTTGCAACACACATAGCAGATTCCAGAGATGGGCAGATGTGTGTTCGCCCAAATCATGTGCTAATGAGAATGATATTGCCAGCTATGTCAGTGATGTCTCCTTCAAATCTGCTCGATGTAGGGCTAGATTCTCCTCGCACAAATACCAATTATACATTGACTTCTTGGAGTTATTCCTGATTTACATCAGTGTATGTGAGAGGAGAAACCAGCCCATACAGTGTACAAAATATCCTTTGACAGAGAATGATGGGTAAATTTTGAGGTGATGAGTACTGTAGAGTGTCTTAATGTGTGTGTGCTTTTGTATAGGTAAATGTTGCTCTGACAATTGCACCAGTGTAACTTACTTCTCAAGGTGTCAACTCCTTGACTCTGTCCTTGGATGGTTTGAGTGGAGAATGTTTCTGCTACCATTCGCTCCACTGGAGTGAGGACAAGGGACTGTGGTGGCCCTCCTCCAGCGGCAGCTCTCTGATGTTCCCCAAGTTTTTTCCTCACTACCCCACGGAGATCTCGCCATTTGTGTTTCAGATCCCCCATGTCCCGCCTGCAGTACCCCAGAACATTGACAGCTTGTAGGATCTTATTCCACACTCTGTGCTTCTTGGCTGGGGTCCCCCTTAAAGCCCCAAAAAGTAGCTGGTAGTGTTTGGCGACCTTTTGCACCAGCACTTCAGTCTCCTGTGGACTAAAATTGGGTTTCCTTGTCTTGGTCCGTGAGTGTTGTCCTTGACGTGGCATTCCAGCAGTATAGTGTGTGAACATAGTAACATTCCCGTGAGCAGCAGGGTCAGAAGTAGAAGCAACCAACTGAGCAGCAATCGCAGACTCTGGTGTGGAACTTCTCTTGCATGTCAACATGTTGAGGTTGGTTCCTAGAAAGGTACCAAATGCTGGGTATTTATATGTTATTTAATAAGGTAGCGTGTAAATTCCAAATGAGGATTTGCACACCTACCTTATATTGTTTAATAAAAAAGCAGTGTTTCCCACACCCATGTCTGAATCCTTTTTGAAAATGTAAACTCCCGCCCACTTGTTGATCCATGGCTGTGCAAGCCTGTCAGAGTTTCTCTCAGAGTTACATATGTAAATTGACATCTCAACTAACACATGGGAAAAGTCCAGTGCCATTGAAATTGCTGTCTGCATAACTACCTACAGGAATTAACTTCATTTCCTTCATGAGAGCTTGTGTCAATTATACAAAGGAGCAACCTCTCACAGGTGATCATTCACTCACTACCAATGCTAGAGTAAAACAGGACTGTTAGTGGGGATCCAGTATAGATTTATGGATCATATCCTGCAACGTGGCAGGAAGGCAGACTAGATGATCCAGTATCTATATGTATTTGAAACCATTCGGGCCTGCTACTGCCCTGGACTGAAAAGATTCTTGTGCCTGATGCAATGATAATCTGTGTCACTATTTTTTAATGAATCCGGCCCATTGGTATTGTGATTCTCAGTTACACGTTCATTTAACCACTAAAACAGAGGAAACTACTGCTACTGGGAACACCGATCACAATCCTTAGGGATGGTGATATATGAACAGAAAATACAAAATGGCAGAGATGCAGCCTCTAGGATTCTACATTTTTCCTCCTTCATTCATTCCGCCCATCCCTTGCATGGCAACAAACTTCCTTCCCTTTAAGAAGGGCTGTGGTCATGTTGCCTCAGAAGCTAGCCAACTTGGCAGCTAGGTGAGCTACAGAAGGTTCCTTGAAAGAACACAGGCCTCCTCCACCAGGTGAACACAAACTGCCTTTCTATTGCTCCCAGGAAGACCAGGGCAGGCACAAGTGAGTGTGAGATCTGATCTTGTATCATGGACACAAGAGCCTGTTTTGCTGGCCAGCCTGATTCTCCTCATTTAAATAAAAAAAAATACTTAGTGGGGGAGTGACAGTTGCAGAACTTTCATCTCCTATGTATAACAGGTGGAAATTAAACCCCTGGATGTGATGAGAACTCCCCCTGATCATCATCAATGTTGAATTTTCACTGTGGGCGTTTCAATTCCCTTTACCTTCTGATTCCTCTCGTTTGTGTGTAACATAAACCTCAAAGGATAAACAGTGGGAACTTGCAGCAGCTGAGTAGGGGGATATCTTGACTGGCTGATTTACTGAAAAGCTACTCAGAAAGAAAGAAAAAGGTTAACAGTGCTACTGGAAAAAGAACACCTCCTATATAAAAGCATGATGCTGGTTTAAAGACAAAAAGGTCCTACTTTCTACAGCTTTCCGCTTTCTCCCAGGCAAGTTAATATTGGGGCCACACGGGTAATGGCTTAAAAATAAATCTAGCCGTAAGGAAATTCGTGACAAAGGGTCATGAAACTAACTGAAGTGTGTTGTCATGTCCCTCGAGGCATTAACATCTGATACGCCTCCTGAAGCCCAAGCAGATTCAGAAGTTATCTGTGCACAAAAAGAACTGCCAAACAAGCACAAGATCAAAAATGAATTGTTGCAGACGTCATCTTGATTTTGCTCTCTGTCTGTGAATGAACAGTCTATGTGATGGCACTTGCATATTTCTGTTTGGATGGACATGTCTGCAGCTTAACGGATGCTTGCCAAAGACTGTGTGCTAGGCGAGGAAACAGTGTGATCAACAGTCAGACTGGAAGTATTTCTCCTTTTGTGATTTCCCTCTTAGGGTCTGGTCCAACTCCCACTGACTTCTATGAGACCTGCAAGTGCTCAGCATCTCTGCCAATCAGGCTTATTTTATATTTAGGTCGCTAAACATGGATTTAAGAGTCTAACTTAGGCGCTCAGGTTCTTAGGAAATTTTGGCAATTGTTTAAGGCACTGGATAGTTCATTTTATCTCATACACACTGTAAAACAAGAGGGAGAGAAACACAGCTGACCCTTCCTTCCTTTAGCTGTAACCGGAGATGGTCATGAAGGAGCTGAGGGGACAGGACATTTTAAAAGATGTGGCTCTCCTATATTTTGCCTCCATTTCTTCCCCCTACTCCCACTGGTCTCCACTCCCTGTCAATGATGCTCTTGATGTTGGAGAAAAAACAGTCAATGGCTAAGCATTTCCTCTGTTCCCCTGCCTTCCACCAAAGCACAAGCATGCTGTCTCACTATGGTCCAAAACCCTGCTGGTGGGGGAGCAAGGAGGGGGTCAGGCTCTAGACATACGTTTGGACTGTGTGTGTGTCAGAATATTATGGCTGAAGCTTTATTAAGCAGAATCAAGCTATACAATTTTCTGTAGCTACACTAATTGTTCATTCCAATTCCAGAGGAAGATTAACAATTTCTTCCCATTCTAGTTATGGCTAAGTCTTCCCCTCCCGATATCCAACAGCCAATGGATTGTTCTTCCTGTGAAATCTATTTTTATGCTACTACCACCAGTAACTATCCCAAATATCAGAGGACAGCTTTTCAAACCCAAGGAGATTTCCATGTACAGAATCCCCTCTAGTACAAGACGAATGGTCTCAGTGGCAACTCAGTTGTCTTAAGCAGCCATGGAATTGGGATCATTTTGGCCCCTTAAACTCTTTTGTAGGTGAGTTGCCACCTCAGATCTGAATGGCAAAATCAGATAATAAAGGACATACCTTAACACTAATGGTGATACCTACCTATTGTGTCTCCTTGTTCATAAACCATAGAGGCCAGGTCTTTAATGATCTGGTTGACGTCCAACATGTCACTCTGAAAAGGTGAAAGGTCACAGTTAATGATCAACAGATACATCAAACCCCAAAAGAGTTGCCCGGTTTCTCAAGCTTGGAAACATGTATTTTTTCTTCTGCAAAGAACAGTGATGACCAAATATTCTCACTATACCTTAAAAGGGCCCTTAAACAACACCATAATTTGTTGCACTTCAGTTATCAAACTTTGCACTTGAACCAATTGAGTTGCCTTGTAAAAGGAGGAAATCAAAAAATTAGACTACACAGCTGCTTAGAATAACTGTGCAGCACCAAAGAACAAAAACCAGCCCTCCCCTTTTTCTAAGGAGCTGTGTTTGAGGGATACAATTCATTTAGGACCGCTGATTCTTATGTACTAACTCAAGTTCTCTCAGTGTTGCGTGTTTGTGGTGAAATACCATTACTAAGTGAATGGAGAGCTGATAGAAAGACTGTCAGATTTTGAAATTTCTTTATCTTTAGGTCAGTTAGAGCAAAGCTAAGTGATGAAAGGATCTCTTTACACCTCTTCAAAGTGTCAAAACATTAACTAGCTAAAGCAACAGTAGCTCTTTGAATTAAAAAACAGCAACTGAAATATTGTTTCTAAATTAGAGCCTGTAACAGCCTAGCATGTAAGAACATTTACAATCAAATCTTGGCTTCATGTAACTCTGGCTCTAATAAGAATGATGAATCTGTAAATGGGATAATACTGAATGCAATACAGAAAAGGCTTCTATTAGCATACCAGAAAAGGACACTCTGACATAACTTGTTGCTATGACTTGATTTTTTATAGCGCCTTTCATGCAGAAAGATCCGACTTTGCTGCCCTATTTATCTTAGGGCACAAAAACATTATGCTGAGTGTGAGTGAAGGCTGCTCAGGGATAACAGAACTAACACAAAATTTTAATACAGGTGCCACCATAATACAGCACTTCTGATATATAGATAAATCTGGGGAGGGGGGAAATTAATCAATTCGTGCCAAATACAATGCATAGCACCAGAGCGAGAGCAAACCCTTACTCCTCTGTGAAGTGTCACTGGACCACTAATGTCCACAGGGAGCAGACAATCTCTCAGGGCATGATCCACGCGTGGTAACCACTTTTGGCAGTATTAACTTTCCTTTGATCCGCAGAGAGGTGTTTTCAGAGCTGGTGCATAGATGCAAGGCAAATAGGAGATCAACCCTAGTTGACTGTAAATCCAAGGGAGTTCACATGTTCTTGGGGAGGAGCGCCCTGTTGATTCTACTGGGGCACTGAGGGGAAAAAAACACACATACGTATTCCCGACAACACATGTGAGAATGCTCTCATGGAGAAGTGTAGTTTCTCTCTCCCCTCAGACTCATCCCACACATTTTCTCATAGGAGATGATTTCCTCCCCTAACTTTTAAAATCTCTTGTAAGAGACTCCCTCACACAGTTAACGGAACAGTAGCCTATTCACCTACTTTAAGCCGGCTTGGAGTAGAATCCTGGGGGCAAAGGAGTCTAAATGTCCCCAACCTGATGGTTAGACAACTAAATTATCCCCTTTGATTAATTTATAAATGGTTCCAAGAGTATCTACATTCATTTTTGAGGTTTATTATGTAATTGTGAGTAGAACAGTACTTAATTATACAATGTAGTCAAATCTCATTAATTTGTAATGAAGCCTGGGAGAACCATTGCGAATGACTGAATATGGCAAATTTACGAGCAAGTGAACAAATACAAGAAACAAAAGCTAAAAAAAACCAAAGGATAGGGTAATGCAGCACAAAATGCACTGTGCTCACTTCCTTGTCAAGTGCAGTCTAGCTTTAATTATGTATGAGAATATGCATAACTAGTAAATGTTCCACAGAATATTTTATAAAAGTAATGAAGTTTAAGTAACACGAGATCACACTCTGTAACACTATGGTAATAAAGCATTGCCAAGAAGGCAGGTTCCACTGTAGAAATTGTGTGGCAGTTTGAAGGTGAGGATGATAAGCTTTAGTGAGCAAGAGGAAGTCAGTGTGGAGAGTCTGAGAAGGGAATTACATGGTTAGACTGGTGGCAGAAGATGAAGATTTTTTAGCCGGTAAGGTGCTCAGTGCCTCTGGAAAGCGGTGAGTGCTTGCCATCTGCCAAGTGATTTCAGTGGGAGTTGTGAGCGCTCCCGTGGAGTTGAATGACCAGGCCCTTTATACTGTGTGTAGACTAGACAGAGGAAGAGAGGCAAACGGATGTGGCAAGACTGGGGGACACACAAGGGATGGTTGCAGTAGCTGAGATAGGAGATGACCAAGGCAAACATAATGTATGTATAATTTGTTTAACGCTCTCATACTTCAAGGAACACAAACAAGCTGCATTAGACATATCTTACATACAGAGAGGGAAAAACAAAGAACAAAAAAACCCTAGAAAATCACCAGGCTCAGATGGTTTTACAGGGATAATTTACAAATTCTTTTAAGAAATATTAACTCCCTGGTTAACAAGAATGTTACACCTCCCAACAGAAGGCTCATTTTAACATGCCCACAATTTCAGCATTCTTAAAGCCAAAGAGCAGACAGCCTGGATTATAAATCCTATCAGCACATTTCAGCACAGAACATACATTTTAAACATATTCACAAAAACAGCAATGAAAATGTCAGCTCCTCCCACAGCCACTCTCATTCCTAAAGGTGTCAAAGTTTAGCAATATGGCAAACATTTAAATTTGGCCCCACGTGTAATCTTACTCTCAGGACACTCTAAATTCCAGCCACAAGAACAATGCTAAATAAACAAGAGGTGATTTCATTTGCATTCCAAAGGGACAGGCCAGGGATGTCCTCACTGTCCCTTCTCATTCACTTTTGGCCACATCCTGGAGTTCTTGATCAATACTGACTTAATCCCTTTTCAGGGAATTGTCCCACAGATATCAAAGGGAATCTGCCTGAGTAGGGACAGAATAAAAAAAACTGAGTAGAAAGCTCAGGGTTTGTCCCTTTATAGGGAGAACCTCTAGTCTTAAAAAAAAAATTAGACGGATGAATCTAAATTAACAACTAAATTAATTATATCTGTGTCTGCAGGTCATGTAGAATTCTATATGCAAACTCCTGGGTCAGCCCTGCCAGTCATTCTATGAATGATCAACAAGGGCTGTTATAAAATGAACTGGAAGCAGACAGAGATATTGGTGTAGGATCTAAAGGGAGTAAAACACAGCATATCTTTGTGTACGTCAATACAGGGAAGCAACCCAGGAAATATCTAAAATGTGTTACCCTTGGGATAACCCTCCCCGTCCCCCCCACCCAACAGCACTCTCCCAGGGCCAAGGCAAATGTAACCATTGGGGAACACCCACTCCAGATGCGCAAAATGTGTTATCACAGGGAAGCACCGTTTACGGTGCTCAGTGTGCATTACTCTCAGGAACACATTCCTCCCACTACCCAGCCTGTGTCGCACATAGAAAAGAGCACAAGGATGGACATTTCTCAGTGTTTAAACTCAAACATAGTGTAAACCCATTTCCCATCCCTTCCGGGGGGGGGGGGGGAAGGGAGAAGGTGTTGGATCATATTAAAGAAGTTCTGTATTAAAATCACAAATGAGTTTGATTCCCCATAGTTTAAATTCCAGGGTACTACTAATTAAGGGGTCTCTTGATTTTTGGTACTGTTTCTCTCCCTCTATGTGTGAAACTTGCAAGCTGCTAATTGTGTTAGTACATTCTAAGACAGAGTCTGTTCTCAACGCAATTCTTTGTAACAACAACTACTCACACAGAGAGAAACTCAAAGCAATACTCTGTAACAATAGAAACTGTACCCAGAGACTCCCCGCCCTTTTGTTGTATTCATCTCGCTTTAACAATTGTGATTAAAATAGAGATAGAGGATGTATGTGGATGGATGCTTGGTGTGGATAATAACTGAATGATTAGGGAGGTGCCAGCCTAAGAATCCAGTGTCCATCGGCTGAAGAAGGTGTCAAGTGGAAATAACCAGAGGACCCTCGGAGGGCAGACTGGAATCCACCGAACAGCCTCAAGAATGGGAGAACCAAAGAACAAGATAACATCTGGCAGCATGGAGCCGTCAGGGATGTGACATTTGCTGATTGATTCAGCAACAGCATGATGAAGCAATTCCCATAGACTGGCATAGGAAGAAATTCCTATAAAAATGGACTCTAGAAAGTGAGAACTTTGGGGTCTGATTATGCAAACCAACTTCCAGGAGCATCAGATGTGCATCTGACGAGGCCCTGATCCCTCCTCATGTCCAGGCCACCTGGCCAGTGGCTTGGCATGAGCAACTCTAAGGCTGGTAACTATGATAACAACCTTGCAGAACCTGTGTGTGTGTGTGTGTGTATGAACGAATGTGTGAATAAATATGAGATTGAATGGAATGTTATAGCTATAACTAACTGCTTACTATGATTCTTTCTGTATTCACAATAAATGTGGTATTTTGCCTTTTCCCCTTTAATAAGATCCTGCTGGTTTTTATTTTATTGGTATAACAAAGGGACATAGAAAGGCAGAGAGCTTCTTTGATGCTAGATGGACACAAACTAAATTTCACCCACAACAGTCTTTCCAGGAAATATTTTTCTCTTGTCTACAGCTGGGGAGAAAAAATGACATCCTATAAATCAAACTGAGCCAGGCTAAGCAACAACAGACTAGCAGAAAATTGTTTTGAGGGCAGAAGCTATCCAGAACAGCAATTACAGCCTGAGTTAGACCTCCTCTGGGACTGCTCAACAACCAGCACTGGGAGTTTCTTTTTCCTTCTCTTGCTCTATTTTGTTGTCTTAATGGTCAATGCCATCATGGCACCATGCTGAATAATTAAAATAGCTCTGTTGAGCTTCATCATCTCAGTCCCTAAGCTAACTGGGGACAGCAGGCTCCAGGAGCACTGCAGAGACACTGTGCTCAACAGCAGGAGCTGAGCAGATGGGCTCTGGAAGGCGTGATGTCTAGCTCTTATCAGACTATTGCGATGCCAT